TTTGTTGCTTTTTCACTAATCATTGATGTATTATTTAATATTAGTAGATAAGCTTTTCAACTCTATTTTAGAACAAGAAGATCAAAATGTATAAACATAAGTAAATTATAGGCTAAATTTCATCAGGAAACTAATAAATATACAAGACTGATAGTGATACATCTAAATATTTCTTAACTAGAATACAAACATTTCATTAACTCACACCTGATGAGCCCTCTAAGATGTTTTCAATTCAAATAACAATTAAAATACATCATTACCTAATCCAGGGGGGCCTTTCTTGGGCTTTATTTTCCTTATGTTTAAATGTTAACTGATGTTGGTTAATACTTCAGTTTTAAGATTTTTTTCCTCGCCGGGTGGTGGTGGCGCACGCCTTTAATCCCAGCACTCGGGAGGCAGAGACAGGCGGATCTCTGTGAGTTCGAGGCTAGGCTGGACCAACAGCCTCCAAAACAATACAGAGAAACCCTGTCTCGTAAAACCAAAAAAAAAAAAAAAAAAGATTTTTTTTTCCTCATTTTAATTTATGTCATATTAAGTCTCAGTTTTCTTCATTGGTGCCTTTTCCTTCTACACAACTATTTCTATTTCTCAAACTTCCAAGACTACTCGAATACCATTGTTAATGTTGCTGCAAAGTCTTTTAATTATACAACTTCTTAGTCCTAAATATGTAGCCTCAGTCCTGACTTCCAAGTCCCATTTTCAGCTGCCTACTAGAAACCTCCATATGTATAGTACACTGACACTTAAAGTTAAGCACATATATTGTACTGTAAATAAGTAAAATCATGTAGTACATGTTTTCTGTGTCATATATGTATAACTTTATGAATGTCTGTAATTTATTATTACAAGTAAATTCATTTTTCACTTTCCTTAATCTCAAACTCCCTAGGAATCCATCTTGATACATTTTCAAAAACAACAGTTAGAAAGAACTTGGTATAGGTTAATTTGTACTGGCTGGTTTAATGGATTTAAGATGGCCATAATCATAGCATTTGCATTTTTCTTTCATAATTTTAAAAAGGTGGTTATAAAATGATGCTATTTTAACTTTGATTTCCTGGGACTCAATGTTATATGAAAATTTTAATTTTGGAATTTCTTTTTTGTTCCCCCATTTCTCTTCTTCCTCTCATTTTTCAACCTAGCTATGAGCTTAGACATAGGTGAAGTTGTCTATTTCCATTAAAATGCTTTCCCATAGCTGAAATTCCAAATGAACTGTCTCACTAAAAAGTGGCAAGCCCCGCAGACCCCTGTTCTCATAAACACGCTTATTCCCATAGAATGAAGATGCTGGTGACTACACATGCGTAGCTGCCAATGAGGCCGGGGTGGTGGAGCGCAGCATGAGCCTGACTCTGCAAAGTAAGCTGTTCCGTCAATCTCCAGCTACAACACAGCAGGAGTGTTGCCTAATGGGGAAGGGCCATTTCCTTTAAACTTGCAGCATGTTCTTGAACAATAACTTTCACATTGTGTCTAGTTTTCTTTCCTGATGACAACCGAGCAATGCTCATGAGCCATAACACCAGTATACTTCTGTAGAATCCTTTCCCGCTCTTATCTGACACCCACAGTTTATAGTCACAGTGTCCGTGGTGGCAAACTCTTTGACAATAGTTCCTGGTGGCCAACCCTTTGACAACAGCGAGTGCCCTCTGTGGCTCACCAAACTCTTGTCCCATGCTTACAAAGAGCTCATTTTATGTGCTTTTAAAATATGTACTAAATATATTATTAGAGGAAAATTCTATTTTCAATAAAAGGAAATATATGCATTAAAAAATAATACTCAGGGGGGCTTCCGGGTAGATCAGCAGTCTTCTTCCATGAAATAGCTGTGTATTCTAAGTGGGATTCTTTACTCTTCGTGGAGCCCCTCAGTAAATGCCACCAGCAATCAGAGCTTCCAAAATGAGAGAAACATGGCAGTTTCTGCTGACCCAGGTCAAGAAAAAGCGTCATCAGATCAGCTAACATACAAATCCTGATGGTGGATCCTTCTAACATAAAAAGGCTAAAAATATTATTAACATTAAGATCTGTTGGGGAAGTCTTATGCCAATAAAGCACTGTCTGGCCAATACGGAATCTAGATAGGAGGGACTAGGAGTCCAGGAGGACTCTGGGAAGGAGAAACACAAGAGAGTTCGAGATGTAACGCCATGGGGTAGGAGCCCGGAACTATTCTCCGGTAAGAGACATACTTAGATTAACAATTATGGGGTAATTACTTAAGTCAGAGCTAGCCAGTAAGAAACAAGCAAGGCCAACAGCTTCATAATTAATATAGCCTCCTGTGTGTTTATTTGGGACTGATGCAGCTCTAGAACCAGACTGGCGGGAAGGCTTCTCTCAAAGAAAAAGCTTCTCTTAACAAAGATCAAAGCACAGAGCAGTGTTTTCATTCAGATAAAACATTTTCGTTTGATTGATGATGATGTAAATGTTGTGCTTTATTTGACCATGAAATATGTACACACATAATTTTATATTTATATTACATTATACCTTTGTAGACATCAAAAATGTCCACAGTATCTGAATTAAGATTCTAAGTTTTCTTGGTCATGGTATCATGAGCAGACAAGCTTCTTTAATAACTTTATTGACATTTAGTGTGAATGAATTTGCCTTATTTGGCATAAGTTTGAAAATGCATGTTATTGGAATATGAGGAAGTAAATGAAAGCAGTGGATGTGAACACTGATAGAAAGGTGAGTTGGTGGTATGGTTCTACGTGGTACATGTGGTTCTGTATGGTACATAGAGAATAGCAAGGTGCCATGGGACAGTAGCTGAGACAACAGAGCTACGGAAAGGAAGTGGCTGTTCTCAAAGACATGTCAGTAATGTGTTATAAAACACTACCTTGTAAGTGTTGACAATAAAATGTGTTTGCTTCCAGATCTGTCCTGAAGTATCTAACACTCCTTCTCCTGTCACTGAGCAAGTCAGCCCCCTTCCAGTTCAGCCTCACCATCTGATCATCCCATGGTTCTCCTTTTCCACAATGTTCTTGCTGCCCTCCACCCACTTGTTCAACTGCAAAGGCAGCTGAGATTTGATGGGGGAAGGAAAGCACAGGTTTTAGCAGGCACTGAACACTTTGTGAACTACCACCCCACTCCCTGGGTCAAGCATCCTTCCTAGTCATAGAAAAGTCAAGTCTATATCCATGTCATCAAGATACCTCACCAAGTGGAGGGATCTTCTGCCCGCTGAAACACTGAAACGATCATCCCCAATCTTGAAAATGCGGTTCAAGATCTTCCCCAGGAAAGCCTCTCTTGAGTTAATTTTACCCATGTAGAACGATACAGAGATAAACATCCTTCTAGCAGCTACATTCAACTCCTTTTACATCTGGTCCTTTACAGGAGTTTGACTTGGGTTTGCTGTTCCTGCCCAGATACTGACAGCCTCTCCCTCCTCCTGAAACTCCTTCCTTTCATTGCTAGGATTCCTGTTTCTTCTCCTGTGATTCCTCAGTGGTCAGTTCTTTGTATCATTTGTAAACCCGCCTTTTGCCTATCTCTTGGTGCCTCATATTCTTTCTGTGTCTCATTATCTTTTTACCATGCCGCATTCTCTTTTGAATCAATCTCATCCAATTATGAAAGACAGCTCCACTTTCCTTGCCAACATCTCAATTTTGAGATTTCTGTGTGGATGTATCTGAATACTCCTGCCATCTAGGCCTGTCTATGTGAGTGTCCCATAGATACCTCAATGTCAATGTCCTAAAAATAAAGTACAAATCACCACCCACTCCCTACTGCCTCCCATCAGATCTCATTTTCCATTTGTATGTTATTGAATTATCCAAGCACAAACCTTATTGCCAAACTCAAAATCCACACTCACCATTTCTTTTGTTTAGCCCATACAACTCAATATCAAAGCCCTATCGTTTTTTTTAAAAATCAAGTCACCACATATTGTAAGATAGAATATTAATCTATCCCCTAACAGATAAGAGCCACTGCCTAATTTCCTTACAGGTCCTCCTTTCATCACTCTTGAGCCAGTGGAAACTGTTGTGGATGCTGGTGGCAGAGTCCTATTGGACTGTCAAGCAACGGGTGAACCTCAGCCAGTCATCACATGGTCCCGCCAAGGGCACCCCATCCCCGTGGATAACCGACTTACCATGCTGTCCAACAGCTCCTTATACATCACTGCTGCTCGAAAGGAAGATACCTCTGAATATGAATGTGTGGCCCGAAACGTGATGGGTTCTGTCCTTGTCAGAGTGCCTGTCATAGTCCAAGGTGAAGCAGTACCCAAGACAGCTCAGATTCCTCATCTCCTTCTAGCTTATCAACTAATGAGTTAAAACAACACAGCTTAGAGTCTTCAAAGGCCTTGCTAGTCATTCATACTCCTAAAGCATATTTTCATCCAAAATTAAGCAAAAATTTTCAGAACATGATGTATATGATATGTAAACATATGCATCTGTATATATAAAGGGTAAACAATATGCAAGCTTTTTTGTCTCTTATTTTTCCCATAGCCATGACCACATGTATCAGCAGAGGACTAGAGAGGGAATTTAATTGAGTTATTATCTTATTTCTAGATATTAATTTTACCCCCTAAAGAAAAGCTTCTATAGCAATCACACGCAACTCTACACCCAGCGTATAACTACAATGAAATTAGACTTAGAAGTTTTCACTTGCAAACCTGAGACAGCATGCAATGTTTTATTTGCAGTGCATGGTGGGTTTTCACCATGGTCTGCCTGGAAGTCCTGCAGTGTCACCTGTGGAAAAGGCATCCAAAAGAGGAGTCGACTGTGCAACAACCCACTTCCAGCCAATGGTGGAAAACCATGCCAAGGGTCAGATTCAGAAACACGACACTGTCAAAACAAGTTGTGTCCAGGTATACTTATGCAAGTAATTAGTAGACTCAGACACCTGTTTCCTGCCTTTGGGCTGACCCCAGGTTATTGCTGGCTATTTGAATTTACCTGATGATGTAACGGTTTCACCTTCCTGTAGTGGATGGTCACTGGTCAGAATGGAGTTTCTGGGAAGAATGCACAAGAAGCTGTGGACATGGCAACCAAACCAGGACCAGAACTTGCAGTAATCCATCAGCTCAGCATGGTGGGCGGCCATGTGAGGGGCATGCTGTGGAAATCATCATGTGCAACATTAGGCCTTGCCCAGGTGAGGACCCAATAGTGCCACCAGCCAAGCTTATGTACATTAAATCCTATCCTGGAGTTAAGATCCTTTGTTCCTTCATTGGGAAAAGATATTACGGCTTCTGGCTTCAGGAATATGCTCACTGTCTGTGTTCTTTTCCATGAAGAACCTTATGATAATGTGACTGTGTTGCAGGAAAGTATCTCCCTTCACAAAACAGGGAAGTAGTTCTGACTTGGTGTATTTTTAATCATGCACAGAAACTGAAGTATATACTAACTCACAAATTAGAAGGATTCTGGGGACTTCAGGTGCCATCTAGTTCTTACGGATGGTTCTTCCTGCCACCCTGATCCCACAGCTGCATCAGCCCCAGAGACTTAATATTAATGATGAAACTGTTGGCCACTAGTTAGGGATTCTTATTGGCTAGCTTTGTCTTAATTACTAACCAATAACTACTAATCTATGTATTTCTACATGGTCTTATCTTACTGGAGAACACCTGACTCCTGACTGAAGAACACAGTCTCTCTTCCCAGGCTCACACTGATAACTCTGCCCATGCCTATACCTCCCATAATTCTCATTTCCTACTCCCTCCTATCCTCATGCCTCATTGACTACAGTGCTTTATTCATCAACCAATAAGAGAAACATATACAGAAGGACAACCCCATCATCTAGTCATCCTTTTTCAAGTGGGAAAATGAGCTGAGAGGAGTTAAATGCTTTCCAGGAAGGTTGCTAAAGGCGAGGAGTATGCTTGCAGCTTCCTGTTTACCATCTTACTCATCTACCTTGCCAATGAGTACCATACCAGATGCCTGGTACTCCTGTTGTTGCTGGCATCATATTTCATGTCTCTTTCAGATTCAAGTGAGAGAGTCCAACTTAAGTAAACAGAGAATTCTTTTTTCAGGTATAGATGATTGCAAGGTTTTGCTCAATGCTTCTACTGATGTGTTTCCATCTGTGATCTCCACTGATCTGCTCTTCGGCTTAATTCTCCATTAAATTCTTCCCATGTGTGGAAAGAATGACCACAGGCAACTAATGATTCGCAGTGGCCTTGTAATCTCAGACCTCAGAGGGAAAAATTTCCTTTCTCTGAGATTCATTTTAGCTTTTCAGAAATAACTGTGTTTGAGTTTAATTTTGTCAAATGTTTTTGTCTTAACACAACTAAATCTAGGAGGTGGGCACTCTGATGGCAGCTTGGATGATGTGATCATATAGGTAGTCAAGAGGTACTTGGTCAAGAGGTTCTTGTTGTGAACCTCTTAGGAAAGACCATTTAGAAGAGAGGAAGGACTAGTCAGAACTCATTCATTCAATCTAGTCTCTAGACAGTGTTTATTATGTACTCTCATTTGAAGATATTTGAATTTCTAAGCACTTGATTGGATGTACTATGAAATATTCTATTGAGTATGAAAAGACTATTAAGTAGAGAGTAATTTTTAACATTGATAAGTATACTGAATAAACTCAATAGAGAGCATTGGTGGAGCAAAACTGAGAAAGAAAAATCAAAAAAGATAAAGATCTCTCAAAATGAGACAGTCAATGAATTGTGTATTGTATCTTGTTGTTGTGGGTCACCCTACTCGGACACCCCTTGGGGGAGGGAGTGAGAAGTTGCAGCACCAATGACTCAGGCACCAAGAGTCAATGAGTAGCAGTGCATGCTGCAGACTCTGTTTATTCAGGAAGTTAGGCCTGCCTTTATACCCCTTCCCAAGGTTCCATTAGCTCAGGTGGCTGACTCTATGGTGTTATCCTTTCCTCACTAGTGTCTCTGAGTAAGACGTCTCTCCTGTGTTTCTGGGTGGTTTGGTTCAGGGAGGAAGTGTTTCTGGGTGGCTTGGTTCAGGGAGGAAGTGCCTGCTGCGCGCACACACACACACAGCCTGTCCTGGGCAGAGTGATTGCAGCTTAGGTAGGCTGGCCTCAGTTTCTCCTACACCTTGTTATGAACATGAAAAAAATTAGAAAATAATAGGAATTTATAATTCATTCGCTAACAAAGGCTGCACAGTTAGTAAAGGAAATTGAATATTTAAACCCGGGCTGTTGTGGTTGTGGTTCCCAAGCCTATTGTCGTGGATATGGGATATTTACCAAAAGTTTGGTTTTATTTCTATTGTATTTCAAAAACAAAGTTCTGATCTGCGCATGGTTAAGCATGCCTGTAATCTTCCCAAAATATAAACAGACAGGCAGACAAACAAAGCCCCCTGCCCTGAAGTCTTTAACATAAGGAAAAAAAATCAAGTGCCTGCTTTAGTCTCTAAAGTAGTGATATTATTTTAAAGAAAAAATAAATATAAACACCTAATTAGAGAATTTGTATGCCATTGTCAGCTTAGGAAGTTATATAATGAAAGTCTGAAGGATGTTTATAACTGTGTTAAAATAAATGTCAGCCTTTCTCTCCATGATTGGTATCTATTTGTTAACTATTATTTAGCCCACTGTTTTATTGATTTACTATTTGATGGGGAGGCTTTCCTTATTCCACAGTCCATAAACAAATTGAATTTAACTACTGTTTAGCATGCTGTTAGTAGTATCCTTGAGACAGATAATGAATGAGAGCATGTCTCTTCTCAACGGAGTGCTTAATGATGCTACCCTAGTGGGTAGATGCCAATCATGGAGGCAGTAGGACACCACAAAAAGTAGCAGGTGCTACTATTTCCCCATAAAGTGTGTATGTGTGGGGATGCTTTACAACTAGATTAACATTGTATCAGCCTTTTACCCACTAGTGCTGGCATCCATTTGATTATTTCTTGCATCTGTTACTCATATGTTTCTCATAAAATACTGATTTTTTGTTGTATCTTGTACAGCAATTATTATTTTTATTGCAAATAACTTTTGTTTATTATTTCTTTATTGACTTATATCAATATGGACTCATTATTTGGTAGTGTAATGACTCAAGTATAATTCAGGGGTTTTTAATACACCATTAATTTATCTATTGTTATGCTCAAAATATCCTGGATTTGGTTTCAGAAGATGCAGTGCACCCTAAGTATTGAAACTTAATACACAGAAGCCAAGCTGCTGGCCCAGGACTGCACAGCCCATAAGGGCAGAGCACCCTCTGGCCCCAATCTTCTCTAGAGTGGCTACTACTAGCCCAGGCCTATGCGGCTCTTCACAGAGCTTCCACCTATTACAACAATTGCACTTACTGCATTTTGAATTCTTCTTTATCAATTCCTCTCTATTTATGGGGTTTTCTTGTCAATTGATTTGGCTATTTAGGAGATTTCTGGTATCTTCCAAACATCACGTATAACAAGCATTCTTCCTGCCAGCCTGGTCCCAGAGCAGTGTCAACCCCAAATAACACACAGAGACTCCATTAGTTACAATGCTGTTGGCCAATGTGCAGGACTTCTCATTGGCTAGTTCTGTCTTAAGTATTAACCCATGACTGCTAATATGTATTTCCATAAGGTCTTATCTTACCAAAGATGCACCTCATGTGTCCTCTCTTCCCTTGGTCACATGGCAACTCTCCACTCTTGACTATATTTCCAAGAATCCTCCTCGACTCCTAGTACCACCTATCTTGCTTCCCTATTGGCCAACAGGTGTTTTAATTATCAACCAATAAGACAACATATGCACAGAAGGACTTCCCCCATCAATCATGATTTTGTATGCTTTCTCCAGTTTGCATTATCTTCTTTCTCTTGTTTAGTTTATATCTCTATATAAAAGAAGTTTTCAATTCTGCTCCATTTTATGTCATAAAAGTCTATCTCGGTTAGGGTCTATTTGTGAATTAAGTATAAAAAGTCAAAACATTTTCAAAGAGAGTTACAAATCTGTATTTGTGTAGAGTGGAAAAAAGACAGGCATTACATAAATAAATGCCAGTCAACCCTAGCCTCTGTTAATAATGCATATTTATATTGTCAGAGATTTGCATTTTAGTCAATGTACATCCTTGAAATTAAACTGTTGGGCAGGAGAGATGGCTCAGCAGTTAAGAGCACTGACTGTTCTTCCAGGTCCTAAGTTCAATTCCCAGCAACTACAGGCTTACAATCACCTGTAATGAGAGCTGGTGCCATCTAGAACACTGTATACATACTAAATCAATAAATCTTATTTTTTTGAGACAGGGTTTTTCTGTATTGCTTTGGAGCCTGTCCTGGAACTTACTCTGTAGACCAGACTGGCCTCAAACTCACAGAGATCCGCCTGCCTCTGCCTCCCGAGTGCTGGGATTAAAGGTGTGCGCCACCAGTGCCCAGCAGTAAATAAATCTTTTTAAAAAAGAAATTAGACTGTATTAAAGTCACTGGGCCTGCAGAAAATCTAAAGTGATGCAGTCGATATGTGAAGACTGTGAACATTACAGTCTCAGCAACGTTGCCTCAAATGCTCCCTCCCAGCTCCTTAGGGTTAGTCAAATATTATCTTAGAACAAACTCTTGTTGGGTACAATAAGTTCATGTGATTGCATTTGCCTCTGTCTATAAAGCAAGAGAATAAGTAGTCACCTTAATCAGGGATCAACTGATTATGAGAAAATGTAAGATACTTTAATATTTCCTTTAAAATCAGAAAAATGATAATCTCATTGATTTTAATATTGCCGTTTCTTAGAAGTTGTGTTGAGAATACTTAGATACAAATCTTAACCCCACTTTTGGTTCATATCTTGGTAAAGCTAGTGAGCAAAGAAGCATATTTCATAAGCACTGTATCTAGAAAGCTCTTTGAGGAAAATATGGCCTGATACTGACTCTTGCTTAAGGGAAGCCATAGTGCTGATTCTCAGCCCACGCACCTGGTAGGAAGTGGTTGACTCTTCCAGTCCTGTGGTCTGATGCTGTAATGTGTTAGCTACCAAAAGGAAGTCCTTAATTGCGCTCCTTGGAAACTACTGGTCAGTTTTGCTTCTGTTGTTTAGCAAGTAGGTGAGTGTGTTATTCAGAATTTCTAATTCA